CATAGATAAAGGTATTATTAACTTTATTATTTGCTTTGCACAAGCACCGAGGAACTCCAGTTGTAGATGTGGGGTCGACTGTACAAATGATAATAGGAAGTCAGTCCCTGACTTGCAAGTTTGATTATATCTTAAAACCTTTTGGTCTGTTAATACTTTCAGTATACCAGTCTGGTTATTGTTTCAATTCTGATCATTTGTGTTGAAGTTTGACTTTCATATTTTGAATTTCATATGCTACTACAAAGTTGCCAACACCCAATCCCCCTCCACCAGTCCAGGACCAGGGTCACTGATATGAATTAGTTCAGTGGGGTTGTGCTAATTTACACCAACTGGAGATTTGTCTTTTGCGCTGCATATTAGTAAAGGATAGTACTTCATTTACCTCCTACAAAAATTTTTACCATGCATTTCTTTCCTCTGAACTGTTCATCAACAACACATTAACAAAGAATGGAAGAACAGAGTGGGGAAAGGGTAGAAAGGGAGAAAAAGAATAGGACAGAAAGCAACTCATAATTTCATCTGTCTTCCTGATTCTGTTACCATTTTATATTAAGTATTGCAGAAAACAGGGTAGGGTGTTACCTTTTAGACCACCTCATTCAGAAAGGAAAAAAGCTTTTATAGGCTACAGCCTTCATGTTCAGATGCCAATAATAAAAGGGTCATTGCTATATCCTAAACATATTGGGCTTGCTCTCTTCACAGCGGCATGTTGACATTTTTAATACAGTCCTTTCTTCCTTTCATCGTTCCTGGATTTGGCATAATAATCAATGCATCAATTTATTTTGTGGAGGGCAGCTTGGAGGCAGCAGCAGGAGTCTGTAACAACTGATGATGGAGTTAAACTAATTCAGTGTTGCAGAACTAAACTTCCAATGAAAATGTGACCTTCACATGAAAATCAATTTTCAGTTAAATCCATCTGAACATTTACTAGCTATATGTTTATTGTAGTGTTAACTTTTTTTTCTATTCTTTGATTTAGTATTAAATGTGACAGACTCTTCTGGAAATACCCCACTTCATTGGGCTACAAAGAAAAACCAGATTGAGAGTGTTAAATTACTTCTTAGAAAAGGAGCTAACCCAAACATCCTGAACTCCAATATGATGGCTCCTCTACATATGTCTGTGCAGTCCCTTCAAAATGAAATAGTTAAGGTAAGATTACAGTCCAAGTAAATATATATGCATTCAAGGAAAGATTCCAAGTGGCTGCAGTGGTGTGGTCATACAGGAGCAGCAGCCAGGGACCAGCTTTAAGTCCCTGAATCAGGTAAGAAACTCAGCGGCATGTCTTCTCCCCTCTAGTCCTCCCCTCCCCGTTTGCCTTCTGCTGTCTCCACTGCCCCTGGTTGACCCAGGGGCAGCTCCAGAACCACTCATGCCCCTCTCCATCTGGGTTGCATAGGAAGCCTGGCTCAGCCAGGGACAGTGACAGTGGCAGCAGTGGGTGGGTTTCTCCTTCCTACTGGGTCCCCCTAGGTGAGCCCAGAAACAGGCTCAGGACGGGGGACCCTGCTGCCCACCACCACCACTATCCTCAGCTGAGCCCAGCTCCCTGTGCAGCCCAGCTGATGTGGGACAGGAGTGGCTCTGGAGCTTCTCCTGCTCCTGGTTCAGCAAGCGATAGTGGCAATTGAGGGAAGGGAGGAGGGGAATGACAGTAGAGAGAACGTGCTACTGAGCACAGAGAAGAGAAATGCAGCCACCCCTGCAGCTCTGGTTGCTGATCCTGCCTCCCCCTTCCCTTTACAAAATCCATGCATATATTTATTAATGGCTGAACATCTACTTGTGTGCACAATTTAACTAACTTCTCAAGTGCATAAGTATACATATACATATACAGGTATATACATATACAGGTGGCTTATCTCTGATGAAAACACAGGCCTTGAAGTGTTTACACAATAGTTGAGATGGTCAGCCTCTGACTCCCCAAAAAGGATTAATCTACTTTCAGAAGCTGGGTTTATCCACAGAATTATCCTGTGACATTTATGCTGAGTGTAATTTCTTTCTTGTGTTCCACTGAGTAAACTTATTTGACATTTTTATGCAAAATTTTTTTTTATCAGAAAGCTAAATTTTATTAGCAGCATTTAATTAAAATTGTCAAGGAAAGAAACAGCAGCGACAACAATGCTCCAAATGCATGATAATCAACACTTTATTTTTTTAAATATCTAGATATTGGTTCAGCACAGCAGTACAGATGTTAATTTAGAAGGAGAAGCTGGGAACACACCTATAATTGTAGCATGTTATAAAGATAATCCTGAAGCCCTGACACTTTTGGTATGTATAATTATCTGGTGTCTCCTAACTGCCTCTGCTTGTGTAAGTAAAAATTACTGTGTGTTTTTTTTGTCGTCTTTATTTTTCTGTAAGAAGCACAAATGACAACTAATGTATCGATCCTGAAAGTTCCTTCATGTCAGCATGAGAGGATTCCCACTGACTTTGCAGGGTTCTTAGGTTACAGATGAGTGTGCACCTTATGTTGTCATGTAGTCATTAAGTAAATGTGCACCCTTTGGAAAAAGTGGTGATTAAGCTGAAGAAGACATTTTTATCATGTCTCTGAAATGAAAAATATTTTTCATCTGCCTGTTAAGTGTTTTACTTTCCTTTGGCATGCTTTTTATTTACTTGGATCTGAAGGAGTTCTAGGAAAACAACATGTAAACTAAATCCTTCAGTATATTATGAAAAAATACCTCCATTCTTAAAAAAATATAGGATTCGTTATATGTAGTTCTTTTGTGAAGTATGTCAAAAGAAATATGATATTTCTGAATGCTATAAAAATAAACGGGAAAAATCAAGCATGCTGTTTTAAGGGATTATGAGTGGACATTGTGTCAGTGTTTATCAGTTTTGTGTGCATGAAACTTGCTTACGTTGCTATGAGTTTATGTAAGGTACATAGTTTTAAGCAATTTCTGCCCCCCCCCCCCGATTCTATTAAAATTACATCTTTTAAGAACATATAGAAATATGCCTGTAGAGCTGACAGACGGAGAATACATATATAAATACACATGTATTCCTGCTTTCAAATTAAATTATCAACATGTGTATATATATAAGAATGGACGAAGTCAAATGCGACAATTAGTCATTAACAAAATATTTATTGGTGGTCATAATTTCCTGCATATTATGATACTATTTATGAACACTTTTGCAGATTGAAAATGGGGGAAAGATATGTAAACCAAACAAAACTGGATGTATGCCTATCCATGCAGCTGCATTTTCCGGTGCAAAAACATGTATGGAAATACTTTTAAAGAAAGGTAAATATGCTCAAATCTCTTTCAGTTTTATTAATTATAATGACATTCAGCACATACCTCTCAAAGCTGGCCTTGGTCCTGCAAACACTTATACAGTATGTATGATTAACTTTCTACAAGTTCACCGAGGCTGTTCCCATCGGCAAAGTAACTCCTGCAGGAATGGTTTGTAATTTGCCTCCTTCGGTGTATGCAGAGAGCTCCTTGAGAAGTTACACCGTGGTACTGAGGGAGTAAATATCACTGTCCATTTGTGTGGGTTTTTAATTTTAATTTCTTGTTTATGTATTTATATTAAAAAGTGCATTTTGCTTTTTCTCTTAGGTGAAGAATTAGGCTATTCTGCTAAAACTCACATCAATTTTACCAATAATGGAAAGTGCAGTCCCCTTCATCTGGCAGTTCAAAGTGGAGACTTGGAAATGATTAGAATGTGCATTGAAGTCGGAGCACAAATTGATCTAAAACAGGTACAATTTTAGTTGTAAGAAAATTTTTGTATAGTATATTTATCCCATACACACTGTATTTTGCCAAAACAGATCGTTGCAGAAGTAGATGAAGAGGCAATTTAGTGAACAGATGTTGTCAAATTAAATAGGCAGAAAATCCAAGGTAGGGAAATATAGAAAAGCTTTCCCAGAGGACAAGAGCTACAAAAGAGACTATTACATCAACAACAGTTGGGTGGTGTGGCTGCACAAGCAGAAAATTAAATACTGTCCAGGGGTGTGGCTAAAGTTGCAGTTATGTCTTTGCCTGCACTGGTGTTGAATTTAAGCAGCTGGCAGGTGTATGGTGCAAATGGAATTACTATTTGTGATATGGTCCAGAGGTGCTCAACCTCTGGCCCATGGAGACATCACATCTAAATTGTGAGGCTCCCCATGGGTTGGGAAATTTTGGAGGTGGGGGAGTGGTGGCCATTAATATATCCATCTCCCCCTTGCCAAATCCTCAAGCCCTGCGTGCTCAGTTGGAGCCAAGCTGAGCCCCTGTGAAGCTGGGCCACGTCCTCTTTTTCCCTGTGAGACCAGGTTGGGACTGGGCTACATTTGTTTTCCCCCAGCAGGGCCAGGCCATACCCCCTTTCCCCACCCACAGGGCTGGGTTGGTCCAGGCCATGTCTCTTCTCCCCCTGCATGATCAGGCTATACCTCCTTTTCCCCCTTGGGGCCGGGTCACATCCCTCCGTTCCACCCCCACACCACCGTAGGGCTAGGGCTTGGGCTCAGTCCACACTACCATTTTTGCCCCTCTGCACAGTGTGGGGGTGTTGATGTGCCCCCCCACAACACACCCTTTCCTTGCCCCCTCCCCTTTCACCACAACAGACTTACCAGCTGCATGCAGCTGTATCAGAAATTGGATTGGTATCGGCCGATATGCCTCCTTAAAAATAGGCTATTGGTATACCTCTAGTGAAATCCTAAGCGGTGCATTTCTGTTAGAAAAGTTAAATGAAAAGTGCTTGGCTTTTCCAAACATATTTGTTTTTAAAAGAAACTTTGTAGAAACAAAAGGTCTGGGAATGTGCATGACCCTGGAAGACACGGTTCTTTGGGTAGATGTGATTTCTTTTATTAGACCAACTAAGTCAAGCTAAAAGTGTGACAGGAGATCAGTGAGAATATAAATAGGTGGAAATTGGGAAAACAATGGGTAGGGAATGGGCGGGGGAACAAGGGGGAAACATGGGTGAAGGAATGCTTATGGTGGTAAGCAAGGGACACGGCTACAACCAAAAACCCTGGCTCTGGAAAACAAATTATTGGCTAGGTCCTGCCTGTCTTTCTCATCCAAGCCATCCCATTGACACCCATTGGTCTATTTGTGTGAGTAAGCACCATCCATATTAGTAAGACTATTCAGAATCAAATGCCTTTATTTACCCAAAGTCTTTAATATTTTTTTTATGCTTAAAAGAGGAAATCTTAGAAGAAGAAATCTTACTCCATTAGTCCTGTTTTAATCACTGAGACTACTAGATTTTAAAATAACCAAAACAAACATTTTTCCTGGGCCTTTCTCTCTCCTGCTTCCATAGGTCAGTCATTTTTGCCACAGGTTTGCTGTTACTACAGCTAAATATGGATCTGTCTTATCATCTTAAGCAGAAAGAGGCAGTCTGAAGCTCAAACTGAAGTCTGAGTCTGGCTTTATTGATTTGTTTTTGTTTATGGATATTTTTGGGATTGTCTTACATTGTAGGAATCCCTGCTCCAGATCCTTAAGATGTGCATCTGAGTTGGTGGGATCTAAACAGATACAGTTGCAACACAGCGCTTGGCTGTAGATGATGGATCTGGTAGTATGCTTAGGATAACAGCTGGTGGCATGAAAGCAGCTGTGGCAGTCTGTGGGTTTCTGATACAATGTGGTGGTAATATGGCTACTCAAACCTTCTCTGTGGTGCCTAGGAAATTAATTTGCTGGACAGAGTATTCCAGAGTTAGTTTTATGGAGGGGTGGAAGTTGTTAAAGTTCTGGTGAAATTTCTCTAGAGATTCCTTCCCATGTGTCCATATGATGAGGATGTCATCAATGTACCTTAGGTATATGAGGAAAATGAGGGCAGCTGTGGAGGAATGGACTTTTAGGTCTGTCATAAACATATTGGCATATTGAGGGACCAAACATGTGCCTGTGGCAGTGCCATTTTTTGTAGGTATAGGGAATCTCCAAATATGAAATAGTTATGTGTGAGGACGAAGCAGGAGTATGCAATAGAAAAAAAAGCAGTGCCCTCATTAGGGATAATGATTTTTATAGCTTGTAATCTGTCCACATGGGGGTTATTGGTGTACAAAGATGTGACATGCATGGTAGCTAACGTGAGCAATTGTTGCCATCTTAATCAGGGGGGTCACATGCCCTGCCAGCGACCAGAGGAGGTTCCCTCCTGGCTAATATTGCCAACTGGGGTGGGGGGTCCCCCCTGCAGCCGATCACACTGGCTGGGAAACAACCACAGCACTCCTGGAAGTGGCCGTGGCACTTCATCCAGTGTCCCCACTCCCTGTCCGGTGCTCACAGTGGGGGCACTAGCACTTCCGCCTGCCCATCACCTAAGCGGGGAGTGTGGCCTGTCAGGGGATGAACCAGCACTCTCAGGGGGTGCACGTGCACCTGTGAGTGTCTTTCCAGTAGCTGGCAGCTCCAGTGGTATACAGGAATAAGACAGAGTCAACATAGCCAGAAACTTCCTCTGCTGAGATGATGCCAATGCCAGAGACAATGGGGCATCCTAAGTTTGTGGGTCTTGGGTAATAAGTTAAAGTTACCTGGCCTGGGTCCCTGGGAGACAGAAACATTAATTTTATTCTGTGTTTCTAGGGGCAGAGTTATTACAAGGTCACTTAATTCTTCCTGGTATTGTGCCATGGGGTCCTCTGTCAAGAGTTTATAAAATTCTGTGTTCTATGTATGTGTGCTGTTTTGTCCATGACAACAATGGTGCCTTGATTCATCTTTCTACCAAATACATATTTCTGAAAATAGCTTGAAATGAGTAATATTACCTGAATGAGTAAAATGTATTCATGTCAGTAAACGTTAATAGGATTTATTCCTTTAAAAGAACAAGAAATTTTCTTTCTTTTGGCCATTCCTCTCTATCCTGAACACATTTGTTTTTTGGAATTGTATCTAAATTGCCATGATCTGGTGGTGAGATTAATATTACCCATGAACAATTGTTCTTTCCTAAGAAGGTAGGAAAATGAACATTTTAAGCCTGGTTATAGAATTGTGAAAGACTTTCAGTTCAATTCAAAGAGACTTCCCAGGAATGTGTTGCAGAAGTGTAAAAAAAAATAAAATAAGAGGCCTAAGAGAACCCTCAGAAGTGGCTATAACTACCACTTCCTCCCCATTGAGAGAGAACACAACCTTGAAAATCTGCATCCAAAAACTTAATCCATGGATTAACATACATATAAAACCATAAGAATATACTACTTTTTTAGTAAATGATGGATTTGGGAAATTGTACCTATAAAATAAGTTAAAACAATAATTATAGTGACAAGATTGGAATATTTTTCATCATTTACATTTTTTTTTTACCAGACTACCACACTTTTCCCCCTCCCCCACACTGGATTAGCCCCCATTTTCTGGGCTGCTCTGTGTAGCTGCATGTTATTCTAGGTACAATAGACTTTCAGACTTTTTTCAGAGGCCATCAATCAGTGGCCACTGAATGAGAGAGCACTCATAAGATGATCTTATTAGAAATAGCTCTAGATTTATATAACTAAAGAAACAGAAGTCCATGTACTACTCACCTGTATGGCAGTGTGACTCTTTAAAATTAGGCTTCTGGACCATGACACAGCTTTTTAGAGCAGATTAAATAGGGAGAAAATTCATTTGAATATAAATTGTGCTTTATAATGCCATTTGCAGAATGAAAAATGCACAGCACTTCATTTTGCTGCCACTCAAGGAGCAACTGAGATTGTTAAATTAATGATGTCCTCGTATGCTGGTGATGAGTCTCTTATCGATGCTGTAGATGGGAATAAGGAAACATTGCTTCATAGGTAAGAAATCTTCTAGTATTGTATGTTATAATGGTGATCAGATTCTTCCTGATCATATCACATAAAAGTCCTTGTGGAGCTTGAGGTTCATATACTGCAAAATAAATCTGTAGAATCTAATACTTTATGTTGATCTTTGTTGTATTGCAAAAGCAACAATGAGTAAAATGTTGGCTATACTTACAGCAATAGGAATCTTGTAATTTACCTATTAAGACCAGCATGTCACCCACTGAGTTGTAAAGATTAGCAGTGTATTACCCTGGCTTAATAAAAATAACAAGGTATGCAAAATAAATGTAACAATTACTTATTGTAAATTATTACAAAGATAGATATCTCTCTCTTCTGTATAAAGACATTACATGTTAGTGCTAAAGGGATGCAGTAGAACAAGAAAAGTATTGCCTGTTCTTTTAAACTTCAGTGACCATTTTAATACGATATATATTAGATAATTGTATCCTACAATAGACTATACTATAATATATTTTTGCATTTCTCTCCACAGGACAGCATTGTTTGATCATTATGAACTGGCAGAATATTTGCTTTCCATGGTAAATATTTAATCAAGCAAATAGATATCTATATATGTAAATGCTCTTGGCAGTTGTTTTTCCATGGGTGCATAGAAGCATCTTGTAATTTCTTTATTTAACAATAAATTAATTTCCTGCTTGGCAAATGCAGGAAATTTACGAAGTAAAATGTTCCTTTAGGTACATGTCACTTTAAAAAATGTATTCCATAATTCACAGGTGCAACTATTCATAGGTATAGTTATGGCTTCACAGTAGTATCTATATTTATGGATCCTGGAAAATTATGTTCATCTATGCATTTTAATCATTCAGGCATAGAAAAAATAGAATATGACACAATGACTCAGGCATCCTTGCCTTTAAGAATATTAACATTGCTTCACACATCTCTGAGGGGGTTTGTTTGTGCTTCTGTATGAAATAGATATGAGGACCAGAGAGGAAGTATTCCAAAGTTTCATGATCACTAGGATATGGGTACACATTAACACTGGCTTTATATCACTATGGCTTGGGACAGATATTCAAAAAGCCTGAGCCTGAATTGATTCAACCTTTGCAGGTTAGTCTAACCTGTCTAGGTTGAACTGATTTGCAAGTGTACAGACATTCCCTCTGGATGAAGGAAATGCAGGCACATACCTGCAGTGGCTCAGGCTAGAAGCTGGGGGGGGAGGTGCTAGAGCAGCCCTCCCCTCCCTTCCACAGTGCTGAGCTGAGGGGGGGAGGGAGGGGGCATGGCCAGGCCCTGGCCAGACACTGATTAGGAAGAGAATCACCCTGCACAGTTCTAGGCTTTTCCCAGTTCACTGCTCAAGGGGTGGGAGGGTTGCCAGCCCCCAGCCCCCAGCTAGCACTCTGAGGCAAAGTGGGAAGGGGGAGGGAGGACTACTTGTGTGCAGTGCCTGCATCTGTTGATGATATTGAGCTTTTCAATCTCCCTCGCCCAGCTTCTTCATACTGTCCACAAACCTGACTGGTGAGGAAGACAGTAGGGAGCTGATAACAGTGTTTAGCAGCCCATCAAGAAAACAAAAGCCTCTCTCTCTAGTTCAAGCTCTTCTTAAACAGCTTTTTCCAAGGAAGGCATGGAGGGACATTGCCAGATGACCTGTTGATTAGCTCCAAAAAGCACTAAGCAGACACTGTCCTGTTTGCCTTTGTCCTTTCCCAGTGAAATTGGAGACGCACACACAGACACCTCTCAGCATTAGCTAGCATACCACATGCTGGCTAGGTTTCGTATAGCTGGGGTCCGTGCTGTGGGAGATGGGAGGAAAGGAAGGATGGATCCCTGCTTGAGCAGTCAGTGGTGAGGGGGTGGCCAGGGAGAAGCCCGGCAGACCCTGCTGTACCTGCAGTCTCCGCTGGAGCTCTAGCTAGGGAGCAGATGGGTGGGGGCAGCCCTGCTCTCTGGAGCAGACAACCAAGTCCAGCCCAGGGCTGCAAAACATCTGGGATGCTGAGGGGCTCTGGTTTAACTTAAATCAGGAAGGGTTCTGGGACAGATATTGCATAAACTGGTTTGACCCAAATCAGTTAAGTCTGATACTACATTCAATCAGGTTTATCTTAAACCAGTTTCAGCCATTTTGAAACTGGTTTATGTGCACTGAATTATGTTCTGTCAAAGGTTTAAATCAGTTTCTGATCACTTAAACTGGTTTATGTGTAACTTCTGTCCCTAACCTATATGTTCATTGTATGTTCAGTGTGCGCGCTATGCTGAGCAACTGTCAGAATCAGTAGGCTTTGGGTTTGGTTATCACTTGCATTTTTTAAAATCCATTCATCCTTTTAAACACATTAGCTTATAAATATTATGTAGTGTCTTCTGTTATATGCTTCTTGTGTTTGGAAATAGACCTGACAACTACAGGCTCTATTCTTAACCACTTCAGTCTTTTACAGTGAGCATCTGATCATCCTGCCTAAAGCATAATTGTATAGAGGCATCACCCACATGCTGTGCTGTGGCTACATTTTATACAATGTGCATAGTGTGAATGACTAACTGTGAGATACAAACCACTGTGGAACACAGTTCCATAGTTACAAATTGGGTTGTTGCTCTCTTTTTGTGGTAATCATTTTGGCCCTGATTCAGCACAACCCTTGATCACATGTTTGGACTTTTGGAAGATATGAGCCTGGCTCAAATCCTTTTTTTGATCAGATATTAAGATGAATCAAGGAGTTAAGAAAGGGAAAAAGATGTGCTTGAAAAAGAAAAATGAAGGTATTATGTAAAAGTATTAATTAAAATGTTACATATCTAATTGTTTTAGAGTGTATGCAAATAAATATGTTAGTAAGAAAAGAGGGGCCAAAGAAGCTGTGTGGGCCCTTTGTTAATCAGCCACAGGGAACTCCTAACTGAAGATGCAAAGAAAGTGGAGCTATTCAACAGCAACTTTGTCTCAGTCTCCATGAAAAATTAAGCTGCAGCCAGACACCTAATAAGGGTTATCCGGATAAAGAAGAGGGCAAACTGAGGGAGGAGATAACAGAAGGCATGGTGAGAGAGCTTTTGTTGGATCTGAATGAATTCAAGTAAGCAGGACCCAATGAACTTCATCCCAGGGTCCTGAAGCAACTGGCAGAAGAGATCTTGGAGCCCTTGGCAATGATCTTCATGAAGTCTTGGAAGATGGGCCAGGTATCAGAGGACTGGAAAAGGGCCAATGTAGTGCCCCTCTTTAAAAAAGGCTAAAAAGAGGACCCAGGGAACTACAGTCTGGTTATCCTTCCTTTAATACCTGGGACATTACTGGAGCATATCCTAAGGAAGGCCATTTGCAAGCATCTGGAGGATGAATGGCTGATCACAAGCAGCCAGTGTGAATTTATGAAAACAAATGATGTCAAACACTTGATTTCCTACTTTGACAGAGTAATTACTGGGGTGGATGAAGGGAATGCTGTGGATATAGTGTATCTGGACTTCAGCAAGGCTTTTGACAATGACCTCCCGATAAACAAATCAGAGAAATGTGAGCTGGATAAAACTACTACAAGGTGGATAGATATCTGGCTCAATAGCCATAGGCCGAGGATAATTATTAATCTGTCCATGTCAGAATGGTAGGAGGCTTTATGTGAAGTCCCACAGGGGTCTGTTCTGGGCCCAGTGCTGTTCAACACGTTTCTCAACAATTTGGATGCTGGCATAGACATTTAAGGGGGTAAGTTTGCAGATGACATGAAACTGGGAATGATTTTGAACACGTTGGAGGATGAAAGCACAATTCAGTAGAATCTTAGCAGATTGGGAAGTTGGGATAGAGTTAAGTTCAGTGCAGACAAATGCAAGGTGCTACACCTCTGGAAGAACAGTTAAAAACACAAATATAAAATGGGTGACACTTGGCTGGATGGCAGCGCTATGGGAAAGGACTTCAGAGGGTTGTTAGAATGCAGACACACTGTGACTCTGCAGTGTGAAGCAGCCACACAAAAGGTGAGTATGGCTTTGGAATGCATCGATAGAAGCATTAGGTTCAAGACACGGGAGGTGATAGTACCTCTTTGCTCAGCACTGGTTAGGCCTCATCTGAAATACTGTGTGCAGTTCTGGATTCCACATTTTAAAAAGGACATGGAAAAGTTAGAGAGGGTCCAGAGGAATGCAATGAAGATGATCAAGGGCTTGGAAAGCAACTCATATGAGGAGAGGCTGAAGGAGTGAAGTATGCTCAGCTTGCGGAAAAGATACGCAAGGGCAATAGCAATCTTCAAATACTTCATAATAGCAATCTTCAAATACTTGAAGGACTGCCATAAAGAAGAGGGAAAGCACTTTTTCTCTCTGGCTACAATGAGGAGGATGCAGACTAATGGCTTGAGGCTGCAGCAAAGACAGTTTAGACTGGATATCTGGAAAATTTCTTCACTTTTAGAATAGAGAGGCAGTAGAATAGACTGCCTAGGGAACTTGTGAACTCTCCATCACTGGAGGTGTTCAAAAAGAGTCTGGACAACCACTGGTTGGGGGTGCCTACGCCATAACTAGGCCTATGTTCTACTATTTATCATACTTCTGGGCTTTGCTGATTGCTGCTGCCATCTCTGCCCCCCCTCCCCCCACCTTCTACTACATGTCAGTGTGTTTTTAAGCCTTCCTCAGAGGCATTGGGTGTTGGCTACAGCCAAGGCTGGGGACTTTGACTGGAGTGTGCCAATTCTTCTACGGGGACCAAAACTGGAGGTTCCTGGCTAGGGGATCTTGCCCCTAAGCTCAGGGTCAGGCCAATCACCATATTTGGGGTCAGGAAGGATTTTTACCCCATGGTCAGTTTGGTACAGACCATGGGGGTTTTGCCTTTCTCTGTAGTGGGGGGAGGGGGTGTGTGGCCCTCTACCCAGGATCTCTTGAGTATATCTTGACAACATTTCATAGGAGCAGGACATTGACTGTCATGTTTTCCTTGCTTTATGTGTGGCAGGTTAGTGTGTTAGCTCTATGTTGTGTTAGGGTTGATGGTAGTCTTATATAGAGTTCAGAGCAGTGGTTCCCAACCATTTTTTGCTGCAACCCTAAATTGACCACCAACAGGACCTCCCGACCTGGCGCCACGGGGGCTGCTGGGAGTGGAGTGAAGCGGCAGTGACCCGAGGGTGGGGGAGCCACCATTCCCCCCTTTGTGTATGGTGGCCCTGCCTGCTACTCCTGGGCCGCACATGTGAGTGTGTGTGCAGGCCCTTCAGAACCCTACTGAGGACCCCCTGTGACCCTGATTTGAGTTGCATCCTGAGGTTGGGGACCAGTGGTTTAGATTATGGTTTGTATGGGATGGTTTGGATAGGGCTGATTCTGCCTCAGGCAGGGGGTTGGACTAGATAACTTCCAGAGTTCCCTTCCAGCCCTACTTCTCTATGATCCCTGTTCAATTTATATATTTACTACCTGTGTAAACCAATATAACATGTATATTGAAATAGATCATGCCTCATTGTTCAACAGTTTTGTGCACACAAAGGATGTAATTGCATATGTAAATTAGGTTTACAGTTGT